GCCTCGGTCTCTCCGCACCCACCCCCTGGGGCGTGTGGGCCTGGGCTGCCGGGAGCTGGGCCCCAGACATGACTCAGGAAGGTCAGGACGGTGCTGGGCGGGGCCTGAGGTGCCTGGGTCAGCGCCGTCCACTGAGCCACCGGGGGGCTCCAGGGGCCCGGCCACATGCACCCTGCCCTCTGCCCCAGCTTATCTATGGCTCTCCCAGCCCCTCCCAGGGGGCTGTTGTGGAGACTGAATGAACTGACCCAGGTGAAGCTCTAGAAAGTTCCTGCATGCAGTAAGCATTGTAGGAACATCTGCTTTGACGGATCTGTCATTTCACGCAACGTGTGCAGGGCGCCGTGCCCCGAGCTTACAGGCGAGGGCCAGGCCGAGTGACGGCCGCTGGAGGCCAGCCCGGGAGGTGGCGGGGCCGGAGGCCACACCCATCGCTGAGGCTGGCAGAGCCCCGGCCTCCTCTCCTGCAGCCAAGGCAGGGGTGAAAGCCCGTTAGCGCTGCGGAGCCGTTCAGAGCCCCGCTGGGTGGCGTTCCAGCCACCGCTGCCCCCACAAGCACGCACACCCTGCCCGGGGACAGGAGCTGGGCACGGCCTCGCCGCAGCCCTGCTCAGGGAGCGCCTGGGCAACCCCGCAGTGAGGGCGCTGCTGCTCAGACAAGGCTTGCCCCGGGACAGCGAGGGAGCGAGCGGCTCAGCGTGGGGAGAACCAAGAGTCCTGAGCCCTCATCAGGTGCCGGCCCCCTCTGAGCGCTCCAGGACTCGGTGGTCTCGGGAGCGCCCCTGTGGACGTGGCCCCTGAGAACAAAGAGGGAGCCGGACAGCACAGCGCCAGCCCGGCCCACCCCGGGGCGCCCCACGCCCCCCTGCGCTCTCCCCCACGTGCCTTGGCCAGCCCCTCGCCAGCACCCCCACCCGGCAGCCGCGGCTCCTCCTTCTGTCCAGAGGTGACTGATGACAGCACTGAGGACGCACCTCAGGCACCAGTTATTTGTGACTTAACGAGGAGCCTTTTAACGATAACATCTGTCGTTTCCATTACCACAGGAACTGAGGCGGCTCCCAAGGGACGCGGCTGTGGCACAGACGCTGAGAAGCCTTCCCGGCATCAGAGGCCCAGGGTCCTCGCACAGTGACTGCCACCAAGCGTGACCCGTCACAGAGAGCACTTCATCTTCATTTTAATTAAGCTGTGGGGGCGAGACGGGCAGCCTGGGGGCCCCTGGGGGCTGAGCGGCTGCACCTGCGAGAGGCCGTGTGTCAGGAAGCCCTTGGTTCTGTGTCTGCACAGGCACGGGGACAGGCACGGGGACAGGCACGGGCACGGGACAGCCATGGGGATGGGGACAGGGACGGTCATGGGGACAGGGATGGGCACGGGACAGGGACGGAGCCAACCAGACCTGCCGCTTTCCTGGCAAGGGTCAGCCTGAGTGTCCAGGAGGGGCCGGGTCTCCCTTCCGGGCCTCGGCCTCCAGCACCTCGTGCAGACGGTGACACCTTCCCTCCCTCTCCGGGGATGATTCGTCCCTGACAGAGGATCCCACGTGCACACACACAGATGCACACGTGGACAGGGAAGGGGGAAGGAGAGGGCAGGGGCGAGGAGGGCTCGGCGGGGGGAGGAGGGTCCTGTGGCAGGGGGAGAGGGGGCGGGGGGGAGCGCCCTCGTGGACGCTGGCCGGCTCACGCCCCCCTCCCTACAGCCGGAGGGGCGGGGCTGCGGGCGGGGCGGCGGAGGCCCGCGCGGCCTGGGAACGGGGGTCGGCAGCCTGGTGGCCCGTCTGCGCCTACGTTTTCTACAGCGCGGGTGTCTTCTTACGGCGACTGTAACAGGAGGAGGCAGGCAGGTGGCCCCGACGGGACACGACCCTGCCCAGCTGGTTCTGTTCCGACGCACGAGGCCTGAAGCTCCGCCTCCTCGGAGCAGCGGGGGGACCCCGGGAACATGGCCGCGGAGCCCAGAGGTGCTCCTGCCGGAGCCGCGTCCTCCGACCTCACTGGCCGGGTGAGAAGCCGCCTCCCGCAGGCTCGTGCCGGGGGGATGGTGCGCGCACACGGCTGACGCCGCGCCACAGGGGAGGCGGGAAGCGGCACAGAGGTGGCAAGACCCAGGACACGTCGGGGAGCCTTTCGTCCTCTGCGCTGACCCCCCCTCCATTCAGCAGCCCAGCTCCACAGCCTCCCGTGGCTCCCAGGCACGCTCGTAAGGAAGGCCAAGGGGCGGCACACGTGACTCCCCACTTTCCCGGGAGCTCTGTGCGCGGCTCAGACATAACGTTCGCACACGCATGACCCATGGTACCGGCCGACTCCTCACCTTCCCCGTAACGTTTTCAGGCTTTGCTTTACCTGTTTGGAGGCTCGGGGGCCCCAAAAAGATGTCAGGACAGCAAACCACACAGGCCCCTTGCCTAACTCGGCCCGAGCCCCAGGGACAAGCCAGGACCCTCTGGTCGCACTGGGACACCTCGTGGTTCCCAGAAGCGTGTGCTTCCCGTGGTCTCCGGCGGGCGTTAGCGGGGGCGGGAGGCGACCCTCGCCTGACCACCATCAGGTGCTGAGAGTACTGACGTGGAGTCACAAAACAGGCCCTTGGACCGCCTGGCGGAGACAAAGACATGATGGCCGCCCCCCCCGAACCCCCCCCACCCTGTATGCCCGCTGGGAAGGGCTCCTTACCAGAGGGGAGAGGAGGCCTCACCAGCCACTGCAGGTCTGAGAGGAGAGCTGGACCCAGGGCTGCACGTGGCTGAGGCACGAGATGTGGCCACTGTGAGCCTCTCAGGCAGGGCCGCCTCCTCCCAGCCCCGGAGGAGGCCGACAGGGACGCAGGGCGGGGTGTGGGGACGGCTCACTACTGAGGAACAGTGATCGTCAAGACGGGACCCCCAGTCCCAGCGGAAGGAGCTGAATCAGCGTCCGGGGCAGGAGAACCCACAGTCAGAGTCGCAACTGCCAGTCTTCTGATCACAAAAGAGGCTTCCGTGGCCTCGCCTTCTGTGGCCCTGCCCGCCACCCACGTGCTGCCTCCTCCGCGGGACCCCGTGTGTGCCTGTGGCCCGTTTGCACAACCCAGGGACCCCGGGAGGCCCTCCTGGGGTCCAGCCCCGCAGATCCCAGATGCCTTGTGTGTCTCACAGGCTGGTGCCTGACAGTGGACCCGTGTCCCTGGGGTGACAGCCAGGCTGCACCAACCCGGAAGAACCCTGGCAGACTCGCTGCTCGGTGAGGGTTTCAGTGCAGACACCCCCCTCCCCTGAAATCCTGGGAAACCGGCACTGACAGATGGCCCCGTACACCGGCGACCCTTTCGCAAACATGCCCAACCCCTGGTTAGGTGTGGATTCAAACTCTGACCCAACAAATGGAACTGAGAGCCTGGACACGGGGGTCGACCAGTGAGGGGCCGTGTCCGCATTCTACAGACAAGGCTCCCGGGGTGGGTAAGAGGCCAGATCAGGGAGGGGCAGAGCGGAGCCCTGCAAGCACTCTCCCCACATCACTGGGCGCCCACTTAGGAGCGGCACCCCCAGAGCGGGGGGCAGCCTGGGTCTCCCGCATCTGTGACGCCCCTTCTCCCCCCGCCCCTGCACAGGCCGGCGGCGACGGGCCCAAAGCCGCCCTGGTCACCCTGCAGGAGCCCAGCGGACAAGTGTGAAGCCTCCCCTGTCCCAGGGACGTCCGGTCCCCGCCCAGATACAGGAGAGCCGGCTTCCGGCACAGCGTCCCGAGAGCCAGTGTCAGGGTCCTGCCCCCCAGAAACCTCCGGACATTTTCGGTGGCAAATTAAATTTGATTCACAGAAGCCACGACAGAAACAGGATGCGTAACGGGAGATGACAAAGGACGGGCGCGTGAGCAAACGTCCGGGTTAGTGACGGTTATGAACACAGGCCGGTACCCCACACGCACGGCCTGGTGGAGAAGGAGACTGGAGGGGGTGGGGGCCTCACCCGCCCCCAGACGCACCCCCCTCCCCGGACACCGAACAGAGTCAGAAGGAAGCCTCACGCTCCAAATGGAGTCCCTTGCGGCGCAAGCCCCAGTCACCAGCTGCCCTGACACCCGACGGACCTTGGCTCCACAACTGCAGGAGCGCGACCTTGAAACAGGTCCCCTGGAAGGTCAGGAGGGCAGCCTTGCCCAAAGCTGGGAATTCTGGGCTAATAATTCCCCTTCCTCCATCTGCTCTGGGCCCATGAAAGCAACCCCCCCCCCCCCACCTGCCGGCAGCGCCTCCCAGGATGGACACAGCCCGACTCCAGGGGCAGGAAGCCACCTCGGTCCTCACACCTGCTCGCTCTGCTCTGCGCTGACGGCAGCACGGACGCGCACGGACGGGCGCACACGCGGGAGCAGGGGCCCGGCACGTCACAGGTGAGACAGCGGCGGTACCACTGGCCAGTCGGCACGTGCGGCCCGGCGTGGCGCCCAGACCCCTCGGCCGCCATCTTCAGGGTCTGCACAGCCACTTGAGGCAAGCGGAGTCCAACTCCCACTTTGTGGATGGAGAAACCGAGGCACAGACACCTGAAGTAACCTGCCCACGGTCACCCAGGTGGGCTGGAAGTCCCCTTCTCTCGGGAGCGGCCAGGCTTCATTAATGCCTTGGCGGTTTTACAGGTCAGAAAGGGCACCCTGGAGGGGACCTGACCCCAAGGCCTCCACTGACCACCGGTCAGCTCATCAGAGGAGGACTGAGGCCCCCGAGAAACGAAAACGAGCCCAGGCTGCACAGGTACTGGGTGCTGGGTGGTCCTGACCCCTCTTGGAAGAGGTACCTGGAGTCTCTCAGGGTCACGGGCACTGGCTAGACGTGGCGGGCACCACACTGGCGGCTGTGCTTCAAGGCTGCGCCCCTCCCCTCCCCTCCCCTGCCCCAAAGGCGCTGCTCGCAGGGGGCGGCTCCTCTCGCCCTCACCCACGACGCGGGAGACCCTGCGCACGATCTGCACGGACAGCGGGGGGGGGGGGGTCCAGCTCAACGCACTCCCGCCCTTTCCACTGTAATTACGTTTTCACTTTTAATTAAAAGCCTCGCTGTCTAACCACCTCCGTGCCAGCTCCCAGAACCAGACTTCATTCGCTGAGCCCGTACGTCCTGGAGGCGCTGTGGGGTGCAGACGCCGGAGCGGCTGACGCGCCTGTGAGCCCACGTGGGCAAGACATCACGGATTCCGGCTCCGGTGGCCAGAGTCCGAGCCCCATCGCCGTGTCCCCACAGAGGTCGGCAGGCCCTGGGGCAGAGGCGCTGTCTCGAGTCAGTGATGCAGATGGCACAGTGGGAGGGAACGGTTCTGTTAAAAACAGATCAATTGGCAATATTTTGAAAATTGCTGAAGACGCCAACATGGATCATACCGCCCAAGGCCACTCGGATAGCGGGTCTGGCCCTGCGTGGGGTGCCGGTCCCACACAGGTGGGGACCTGGCTTCCAGCTCTGGGGCCTCTGTCTCCGAGCATGGACGGAGGGTGTGGGGGCCACGGGGAGGGGCGCCACAGCGTTCTCGGGAGCACAGGGCATGGGTCCTTCCCTCCCCGAGGCGCCCCCACCGCCAGGCCCCTCGGGGGCAGGGCTGTCCCTCCAGCAGTGGCCTTGGGCCCGGGCCCCTCCTGGCCTCTTCCTTCTGCTGACATGTCACCACCCACCTCTCCGCGTGGCTCTATTCTGGGCGAATTCTTGCGGACGAGACAGAGCCGAGCTTCGTTCCCCAACTGGGGGTGGGCCCACCTGGGGCTGGGCGGGTCCAGCCCACCTGCCTCAAGGGATGGGGACTGATTTGTCCCCAGCCTCCCTCCTGCCGCGTCACCGCCTGCGCCTGCTCGGCTCAGCTTGTCATCCTCACCAGGGGCCACCTGTCCCCACCCTCCCCGCACGTGCCCTGCGCGGCGTCAGAGCGCAGCTCGCTATCCCCCAACACGCAGACACTCGCACTCACACAGGTTCACACACAGGCACACGCACTGACACACAAGGCACTCGCACGTATGTACACGCACACACTTGCACACGTACTTGCACATGCACACTGTCAATCACTCACACGTGCACACACGCTCACACAAACGTGCACACGCACTAGCACTCACACACACTCAGGCTCTGGCCATCCCTCCCTCTCTCCGTCCAGCTGTCTCTCCCTGACTTTGACCTCTGTGTTTCTAGGCCCTGTTTTCGGACACTTCCACGCCCAGTCTCATGAGCCATTGTTACTGTAATTCTCGAAAGAGATAGACTTCTAATTCACGTGAATATTTCTAAATTCAAAAACCACTTTGGTAAAGTTCTGGAAAAGCGTTACCTTGCTGCTGCGGGCCCTCCCCAGGAGCCCCCAGGCTGTCCTCACGGTCAGCGTGTTGAGCTGGCCCTCCCCTTGCCGGATCTACTCCCAGAAGAGATGCGTGTCCCGGGCCCCTTGGGGTCTGCTCCCTGGGGCTGCGGCGACTTCCTCTGCGTGCTGGCGCTCCGCGGTCACTTCCAGCCGCACCAGCTGTGCTGTGGCCTCCGTCAGAGCCACAGGGAGGGAGGGAGCTCCCGGTCCCAAAAGGCGTGCAAAGCCAGACCCCCGGAGACATCCACCGGCAGTGCCAAGGGGAGGCTTCCTGGCCCTTGTGTTGGAAGCTTTACAACGTGAGACGGATCTAGGGTTCACCTGCCTTCGTTTTAGGAAAATCACCACGAGGAGCTTCACGGGTTCTCGGAGGAAACCGTGGGGTCACTGAGCCCAGGCGCAGGCAGGCGCTCCGGCAGCCAGGACGGTCCTGCCCCCCACCCCGGGCTCAGGCGCGAAGCCGCGTCGCACGAGAAGCCGCAGAGAAATAAATGCTCTTGCCCGGGAGCAGCTGCGCGGCCCCCATGCTGGTCGGGGGGGGGGGGGCGGCAGGCGGGCAGACGGGCGCAGGGAAGCAGTGGCACTGGACGGAGGGCCCGGGTCAAGGGGCAGAGCGGGGCCCCCGCAGGGGTGTGGGCGTCCTCACTGCGGGGCGCACTGCTGACAGCTGGCTCCGGGCTGGGCGTGGGGAGGGGACACCAGCCCCTCCATGGGCAGCACTGGCATGATCGTTTGGACCCCGCCGCCAGCTGGCTGGGCCCCCGGGGAGGGTCCTGGGCCTGGGAACCTGGGGGCAGCCCCACCCACGGAGGCTGTGGGCTCCTGGGCAGGGAAGTCGGGGTTCAGGAAAGGCCTGGGCGTGGTGTCGGGGAGCTGCAGTGAGCGGGCACAGGCAGTACCCGAGGGCCTTTCTGGAGCCCCGTGGAGCCCAGGGCCGCCACAGCCCCGAGCCCCCCAAAGGGCAGCCGGGCCCGGCGCCGGAGGGCACAGCCAGCTTGTGGGGACCCTGGGCCAGCAGATGGCTTCACGGCACTGGTAACCGGGTGCTGGAGTGTGACTTTATGTTATCATCAAGGGCAGGTGACGTCACAGCCACTGCAGGAAGTCAGCTGAGACCCTGAGCCACATGCAGACCTGCCCCAACTCTCGGGGCCGGGACACCCGTGCGTCACCCTCTCCTCTGTGTCCCACAGGCTGGCGAGGGTGAACTCAGGCAGCGTCCACCGGGGAAGGGGCGGGGGTGGAGGCAGGGCCGCAGAGGCCCTGGAGGAGGGTGCGGAGGAGCCCGGAACAAAGCCGAGCCCTGTGGAACCCAGCTAGGCGGGGAGGGGTCTGGGGGCAGGCTTTGGGGGGGCTACCGGGTGCTGGGGCGGGGAAGGCGAGTCCCGAGCACCCCCGCCCCCCAGAGGAGCCGAGTCCATGACTAGTTCCAAACCTCTCGACCTGTAGGCTGAAGGGTCTTGACCACCCAGCGACCCTTCAGTGACCCCTAAGGAAGGACCCCGGGCCCCATCAGCCGGAGGCTCCTTCCCAAGGGTCGTGTTCAGGTCAGCGTACGCTGACGGGGTCACAGCACTTTCCAGGCCCCACGCTTGGCTCTGAGGAAATGTGGACACGGCAGGTGCTGCGCGGATGTCAGGCGGGGAGGGGTGGACATAGCCCTTCCGTGCAGCTCAGCCCACCGGCCACACGGGACTGCCAGGGGTCGGAGGTGCCCAAGGGCGGGGACGCTCTCCGGCCTCTGCTGCTGCCTCAGCGCAGGAGGGAGTCAGTCACGCCCGGGGACCGGCACCGGGTGCCAGGGGCCCACCAGGAGGCCCCGCGGCCGCTGGGCAGGGTCAGGACCCAGGGCGCAGTGGGAGGCGGCAGCGGGCGGTGGTCTGTGCCTGCACCCCAGGCCTCCGTGCAGGGACCCCGCAGGACGGCCCCGCCCAAGTGTCCCCGGGCCCCGGGAGGAGGCCGTGGGGGGAGAGAGCTGATATAAATCAGAGCTAACCTGTGCTGATCCCTGCCTCCCTAAATCAAGAACCTGGCAGATCTTCGGGGCGAGAATCAATCTTCCTGTCCCCGCGGTAAATACCATAATCCTTTCTCCAGTGCGGTTTAGAGAATGTAACTGTCACACTGTGATTCATTCAAGAATATTCTGCCAGGTTATGTGAATAAATGGGGGCATCCGCGCACTTTACAGCAGGAGGTCAGAGCGCTTTCTGGGGCACGGGCCTCCTCCAGGCGGCAACCCTGGCCCGGTGTTTGCCGGCTCGCTTTATTTAAAAAATGTTTTTAATGTTTATTTATTTTTGAGGGGAGGGGAGAGACAGAGCACGCGTGGGGGAGGGGCAGAGAGAGAGGGAGACACAGCATCTGAAGATACAGAATCTCCAGGCTCTGAGCCGTCAGCACAGAGCCTGACATGGGGCTCGAACTCACAAACCGTGAGATCATGACCGAAGCCGAAGTCGGACACTCCACCGACAGAGCCCCCCAGGCGCCCCCTGCCAGCTCATTTTATGAGGCCACCGTTTCCCTGACACCAAAGCGCAGATGAAGTCCAAAGAAAGGAAGACAGATACGGACTAATCTCTCTCATGAATTTGGGGGCAACGATTCTCAGCGAAGCATTATGGAGGTCGATGCTACTACATATCACGACCAAATGGAATTTATTCCAGGTTTCCAGGGTTGGTTGAATATTGAAAAAAATCGATGTGATCCATGGTATCAACAAACTAAAGAAATATCTAATGATCGTATCAATGCAGAAAAAGCACTCGACAAAATCCAACACTCACTCAGTTTGTGTTTAAACCAGGAAGTCAGAAAGAGAATGGAGGTGCCTCACCTATAAAAAGCAGCTACAAAAGGAGCAACTGCTCACATTGTATTTAATGGTTAAAAACACTGTGTTTTCTCCCGAGGACGAGGAACAAGGCACGGATGTCCCCGCACTTGCCTGACTCGGTGCTGGAGGTCCCAGCAAGGAGCGCGCACACGACACACGTTCCATCCGGACAGGAAGAAGTGAACCGTGTCTGTGTGCAGAGGACGTGATTCCCTGTGCAGCCCTCTCAGGAAACCGCAGGACACCGTAATACACGGGCTCAGCGCGTTCTCAGGCTACAGGAACCCATTCCGTTTCTGTACACTAACGACGAATGTGTTAGAGCTGAAATGGAAAGCACAGGCCATGTACGACCACCTCAGAGGTGACGAAATCCTAGGTGTATGTTTAACAAAAGGTGCAAGGGGTCGTTGTGCTGAAAGCGACAACATGCCGACCAAGACGTCACGAAGATGCGGAGAAATGGACAGATGAGCCGTATTCGTGTAATGAAGCCAAATGACCCCTTCCATCTATGGGTTTAATGACCTTTCTGTCACAACACCAGCAAGGTGAGTCACAGACCCCAGCATAATTAAAGCTATCTCCAGAGGAAGGGGGGGGTCATTGTCTGATACCATGGTGACAGTAATTACGGCAACGCCTGTGGCATCCGTGGGGGACAGATCAGTGGGAGGGACCCAGAAGCCAGAAAACAGCCCACAAAGCCACTGATGTTTGCTGGAAGCGCACGGACAAGTCAGTGGGGGAAGGACATTCACGGGCAGAAACTGAACCTCCCAACACTACATGCCTTGTACAAAAATTAACTCAAAATGCAACCCGGGATTCAATTAAAATGCAAAACCGTAACATTTTTAGGGGAAAAAAATGGAGAAAACTTTGGAGACCTAAGGCAAGGCAGACAGCGGGGCTCAGGGAAGGAAAGCGGGAAGGCCGGGGCACGCCGGAGCATGGAGGACTCAAGGACGGAGGAAAGGGCGAGCTGCAGACCGGAGGAGGCATTTGCAAACCACCCTTCACAGAGGACTCGGGTCTGCGATGGAGAAAGAACCTTCAGACTCGACGGCAAAGAACAAGCAAGCAACCCAAGTAGAAAACGAGCCCAAACTTGTAATTAGACATCTCACTGAAGATGATATGTGAACGAGAAGAGCACGAAGTGATGGTACACGTCATCAGTTGTCGGGAAAACGCCAGCCGAGAGCTCGGGGAGACAGCACCGCGCCACTGCAGTCGCCCCACACGCCAGGCCACGCGCAGACCACTGGCGGCCCCTGCTGCAGGCTCCCCAGCAAGTGCACGCGTAGCCTTTCACACCGGAGACGTGAGGGCGTCTGCAGAAAACTGTGCGCACCTGTTCACAGACGGGGCTGGAGCTGGAGGCGCCTGGGCAGATGCGCCGTCAGGGCACCCCCAGCATGGGTGCCGCTCAGCTCCAGACGGGAGGCCGGGACTGACGCACATGGCGCCCGGAAGGCTCTCTGGGGAAGGAGCCCGGCCACGGACCACGGTGTACAGATCCAGTCGTGTGACACTTGCAAGGGACAGAAATGGAGAGCCAGTGAGCGATTGCTCGGGTCATGAAGGGCACGAGGGGGTTGTTCTCACGATGGACAGGTCACGTCCGGGGTGGTGGACGAGGCACAGATCAGTACGGGCAGCCCTGGGGGGACCCGATGCGTGCAGTGCACCCGCTTGCGATATTACGGGTCGGCTTTACAGAACATCATCACTGGAGAAGAGTGGGGAAAACACAGGCTCTGTTATTTCTTAAAACTGCACATGGACCCATAATTATCTCAGGAAGCATTTCAGTTACAAAGAAAGTCAATCACATACCTGCCATAAAATCCGGCCCTTCTACCCCCTTGGTTTGTACCCAGGAAAAACGCGGGACGGTGGCTTCACAATGACTCACGGTAAATGTCATGCCTGCATTACTTGTAATTGCCCCGAACTCGAAACAGCCCGGTGCTCACCACATGTGCCCGTGGGACAGGCTCGATTCGGCCGAGAACTGAGGCGGGTGCCCCACGGAGGGTTCAAGCCCAAGGGAAGAAGAGACGGCACCCTCTCGTAGGACAGAAAACGTGGACCGTCTACAGTGGCGGAAGGCATGGTCGGCTGGAGGTGGGGCGACGCCGGGGAGCGTCGGGGCGACGGTGCACTCACTGTCCTGGCCGCCAATGGCTTCGTGGGCGAGCGCGGGCAGGCTGAGCAAACCGCACACCAGCAAGGGATCCTGCTTATTGTGCCTCACGCGGCGGGAATAAAAGGACCAAGCGGCCTCACATGCGAATGAGAGAAGAGGTCAGGAGCAGGTGTGCAAACGCCCAGGTGAGGGGAGGCGGAGGTGAGGCCGAGGAGGAGCAGAGGCGGGGGGAGGAGCGGGTACAGAGTCTCCATGCAGAGGACAGACTCCATCGTCCACTCCTGGCCCGTGTCCCGGGTCCAGACGCGGCCGCTGTCCTGGGTCTGGGTTCCTAAATGCCAGACCGAAGGTGGTCTGGGGGCCGACCTTCGAGTCCCCTTCCCCGGGGCCCTGGGCACCCGGCACTTCTGAGAAACGCGGCCGGGACGCGTGGACGCATCCTCAGCCCCCCCGTCTCCCGGCACAGGACGCAGCTCCAGGGTGTGGTCCCACGTGTGACTGTGAACATCCCCAGGAAGGGCCAGCCCGCCCCACGGCACCCCTGCCAGACGCAGGGGCCGCTGGCCAGGGCGCCTGCCCAGAACGCAGGGCCGTGAGTAGGGACATTTCCAGAATAAAAGAACAGGGAGGTGGGGCCCCCGACCAGGAGGCGATATGAGTGACGCGTGAGGGAGCCGTGGGGACGGACTCCCTGCGGAGCCGCCAACGACCCCGGACACAGTGAGCGGGACACAAGGGCTCCTCCGCAGAGCCAGGCGGGCGGCCCACGCTGCGTCACCCAGAGACACCTGCCAGGCAGGCGGCCGTGTGGGACTCGCCTGGAGGGGACAGCAGCCCGGCCGGGAGGGAGTGTGACCCACTGGAAGACTCTCCTGCCCCCTCAGCAGGAGCTGCAGACCCCCGGGAGCCCGGGTGTGCAGCTCGCTCGCGGGGACACCGGGCCTGGGCCCCACATCCCCGTCCTGCATGGGACAAACGCAGCTGATCGGTGCCCCGCGGTGGGCCGGGCTTTCCACTCGGGACAGGA